AATAAAAATAACCAATCACACTTTGGCTCTCTCTCTCTCTCTTCTTAATTGGCAAGTATGGTAGCCTGATGCTGGGGACAATGTTCTGCTGGTATAGCCAAATGAAAAAGGAAGTCAGAGATACGAGCACCTCCTTTGTACCAGATTTCATACATTCCAGGAAACAAGAGAAAAATGTGCAACAGACTCGCCCTTCTGCTTTTTGTCCGATGGCTGGAACCAAAGAAGTATTTTGCACATTTTCCCCATGTTAATATATACATTTCAAATGCACAAAAGGGACACAAGGAGAAAACGTTTCCAGTGTGTTTTGATAATAATTTTAGCAACAGCAATTATTCATGGTCCTTCATAAAACTGTACAATAATATCAGGACAGCTCTTTTCTTAAGAAGTTATTTTCTTAAATAATATTTATCTATTATTTATTCATTTATATTAATACATTTCCCACTCATATATTACATTGCAGGGATGGGTGAGCAGCAATATGTGTCCTCAAGCCTCTTTCCACCCCACCCACATAGCTTCCCCCCCCGCCCCACGAGACTGCCAACATTTGGTTTTCTATCTGTCTGTGGATATTCTCAGTCGTCCAGAATTATGGTGGTCCCAAAGGTGCTTTTTCAGGAGGCAACTGAACTTTCTTATTCTGCTAGAAGACATTTCACTTCCCTTCCAAGAAGCTTCCTCAGTTCTGATTGCATGGTGGGGAATGGAAGGATTTATATTCCTTGCAGTTGTGTGGTTGTCAGCCTTGTTTCTCAGAGACGGTTGAGGCCACTTGGAGATTTATCTCAGGATCCCGTTTTCTACCATTTTGAGATGGGACATAAAGGAAAGCTAGTAAAATAGGCTCAACATGATGTTCAAAAATTCAACTAAATAAATATTATAGCCTACCTCCAACTGCCTATTCCTAATGTTGGGATCATGTGGAATCACTGAATGTTTCAAAGCTGAAAGTTAGGGCTGGGTAAAAAAAAAAAAGCCTTAAGTGTCAATGTTTGTTTCCTTGCGTATGAAAAATCTCATTTTCAGTAGCCTTACTGTATATAGAGATGCATATAAAGATGTTGCTTCAGTACTGTTCAGATGAGCAGAATGCATTTTGTGTGTGTGTGTTTATCCATGACCATCTTTGTCAAAGCAGAAGAGAAAATGTGATTTTGATGTACATGTCTTTGTAGATAATGACTGTGAAAAATCATCCAGCTGCCTACTTGCAACCGTTTATTGTTATTTTTTTTCATGTTACCCCCTGATTCAACCTAAGTTCCTGAGTAGGGAGACTTGACGGTCTATAGGTTTTTAATTTGAGAGATGTTAGTTACTAGTCAGTCACCTAGTCATTTAGTTCAGCTTGTTTTTTTTCAACTGCCACTATTTTTGTTGAAGCTCGCAGCATAGAGGAATGTTTAACATATACTGTAACAGCAAAATCCTTCTCAGAAACCTATGCCATATTCAAGAACTAGCTTGCTTTTAAATTAAGAAGCTTCATTAAGTGCAGGGAAAAGACAGTAAGGAGAATCAATCGAGTAATATAAAATATACACAGATTTTACTGTAGTCTCTAAATACAGTAGCCTAGAATAGATAATCTTCCAGAGAATATAGCATGCTTCTTTGAAGGACACAAGTGTTATCAAATTATTCTCTAGAAGACACATTTCAATAGGAATCTCCTTCCTATTTTGGCCTCTTTAAAAGCTGAAGCTTTAGATATGAGGAAGTCGGTTATGGAAACTTGATTTGTTTAATGTTAGGCAAGGAGCTTCTGGAGAAATGGTCCATTATTGCTTTATACATCCCAGGAAAATAGAAGTAAGCAGTGATGGGATTCAAATAATTTAACAACCGGTTCTCTGCCCTAATGATTTCTTCCAACAACCTTTTCACCAAACTGCTCAGCAAGTCAACAACCGGTTCTCCCGAAATGCTGCGAACCGGCTGAATCCCACCACTGGAAGTAAGAGATATAAATCAGTAGAGATTTGCTACTTACAGAACCCATTATTGTCATCCTCCCAATTGTGATGAACTATAATTCCCAGTTTTCACCATTAGTTCTATTGGATGGACCTGCTGGAACTGACATTCAAGGACAGCCGAGAGCCACAGACTTACACTAAGGGCTAAATGCTAAACAAGGTGATTGTTAAGTGAGCTGCATCCAAGTTCAGATCTTTTTTGCTGTGGTTGTTAAGCAGTTGTTAAATGAATCAGAAGGTTATTTTTTCCATACAGTTTTTTTTTTAATTAGTTTATAATATAAAATACAAAAATACAAAAGCAAATAATAGGAAAAGTAGGGAAGGGGAAAGAGAAGGGAAAAGTGTAGAAAAGAAGGGAGAAAAGAAAGAAAGAAAAGGTTTTGACTTCCAACTCCCTTTGGTGCAGTAGAATAAGATAGTAACATCGAACAAGAATATTAAGCAAATCTAGCTTCTCCAATTGACTTTTTTTTTTTTAATTTGATTTATATGCCGCCCTTCTCCGGAGACTCAGGGCGGCTTACAATGTGCTCAGCAATAGCCTTCATCCTTTTGTATATTTATACAAAGTCAGCTTATTGCCCACACAAGCGAGATTCGAACCTGCAGTAATTGTAGGCAGCTGGTCTTAATAACCAGCTTAATAACAGGGTGCCTTAGACCACTGTACTACCAAGGCCCCTTTGGCTTGTCAAAGCTGGCTGGGAAAGTCACAAATGGGATCGTTTGACCCCAGGATGCTGCAACAATTGTAAATATCTGCTGGTTGCCAAGCACCCAAATTTTGATCACACGATCATGGGGAAGCTACAACAGCCTCAAGTGCCAGGACCACTTTTTTCAGTGCCCTTCTAACTTCAAACGATTCCTAAGCAAATGGTTGTAAGTTGAGGACTACCTGTATTGGAATTCAGGACTCTTCACTGCATTCTCCAAACCAGAGAATGAAACTGAGATATTAATTAGCTTTTTCCAGTTTTGTGTTTTGAAGATCTGATAGGACAATATCTGATAGAAGAGAATATCTGTAGCTCAGGGTTGAACTGTAGGGTCCTTGGTGCTCTCTGAGCCTGGTGGTTTTCTTGAAGACATTTCATTACCAAACTAGGTAACATCATCAGTGCTAGGACTACATCTCTCAGACAGTCATTTGGCATGCAGTCCTGGGATTCTGCATGTTATATTCCAGATTAGAGGAGACTGTTTTGGATCCTTTAGAAAGCATAGATTTCGTCAGATGACATGGGTAACAATGGAGAAATACCTTCCTTTCTGTTTCCTCCCATCCTCTATTTGTGCTACAAATGAATTTACAACTTCCTTCTGCTGACTGCTGTGAAGAATGTTCCTACTGAAGTAAAAAGAAGCAAAAAATAAACATAACTTCCACTTAAAATGTTTGTTTGGAAACATGAATTAGGGCATGATTGTTTGAGAAGTCACAAGAAAAAAATTACAAAGATTTAAGAACTAACATCTCCCTGCTTATGCCAAATCTCTGTTCCACGGCACTGTTATAAACTCTCTTTATATGATTTTATGTGAAATGGATCATGCTTTTTCATATGATGTTCCAATTGATGTAAGATTTGCTGAATTGCTTAGAAAGAAAAACTCTTATTTTTCTTATTGCAACAGGCATTTTCAAATTCTATATAGCATCTTAAAGAATCTCTTTTCTCCTGGGCGCAGTTTATCAACCCCTTCATGAAATTTCAGATTGTTCAAAATATTTGAACAAATATTTGTTCAAATATTTGATTGTTCAAATATTTATTATATGAAAATAATAAATGCTACTGTAATTATTGGTACTATGAATAACAACCACAACAGTCACAAAATTATCAATAATAGATATTCCATTGACCGTTGAGGTTTAATATTGGTTATTTTAGAGATCTTGTCCTAAAACAAAGTTGGGCAGAGAAATGGGTCGGGCCCTACTAACAGATTCCTGGTTGATTTTTAGTAGATTCACAAAAGGATTTTTGATTTTTGTTTAACACCAGCTGTGTGTTCCACAACAAAACCACACTTCTAAAAACAAGCTCAGTGTATTTGTTTCTAAGCAAGTATGGTTAGAATTGTGCTGCAAATTTGTATCAAAGAAACTAAATAGATAGCAACACTAGTTGACTTTGGCTCAGTTTGAAAACCAAGCAGGACTGGATTTATTTGGTACTTGGGTTGGAGAGTACTATAAAATATTAGTGTAATGTGCTAAACTGGGAAAAAAAGTGAAGAACAAACTACTTCCATATTCATACATATTATACTTCACATAAACAATGTGGTTTGTCAGTGGAGGTGCCAGAAGTCAAAATTACTTTAAAGGAAACTTCACCTTAAAAACCAGTTAGAACAATTAATCAGTGGAACAACTTGCCTCCAGAAGTTGTAAATGCTCCAACACTGGAAGTTTTTAAGAAGAGATTAGGTAACCATTTGTCTGAAGTGGTGTAGGGTTTCCTGCCTAAGCAGGAGTCTGGTCCCTTCCAACTCTGTTATTCTATTCTATTCTATTCTGTTCTGTTCTGTTCTGTTCTGTTCTGTTCTGTTCTGTTCTGTTCTGTTCTGTTCTGTTCTGTTCTGTTCTATTCCTATGATTCTATACAGTCATTCCAAAATGCTTAGCCATACTTTGGAAAGGACTCTATTGCCTCCTTTCCTAAAAATAAAAATTAAAAATAAAATTAAAAAAAAGAGGATGTTTGGGAGAAATCTGCAAATTCATTTATGGATTACTGGTATTGAAACATTTATATGTCACTTTTCTGAGTGCTGTTGTAACTTCAAACAGTTGCTGAATGAATGGTTGTAAGTCAAGGACTACCTGTAGTAGGTTATTAGGTGGACTTCCATTGTGTTTTCAGGGTTTTGCTTGCGATATTTGGAAACGATGGTAATGTAGGAGTTCCTAAATGTTTTGCCTTATTGTAATCTTAACAAACACACCTCCCTAAAAAGATCAAAATGAACCATTAAAAAAATACAATGAAATGTTGGGAAATGTTGGGATTTACTGTAGCAATACAACTAAAAGATTCTTCACACACCTTTCTTGGACTCTGCCTTCATCTTTCCAAATGTAGGGTGCTTCACAGTTTGGAAATCCTAATGAGTCTGTAAAAGAGAAAGGGGGAACTGGCCTGAGAATTTGGCTCCTCCAATACTATGAGCTTCTTGAGGGGGTCACCCACTTGAGAGTAAACTGGTCGGGGTTATCACCATCCTCAGATTTCCTTGTCCTGATATAGTAAGACCATCAAAGGAATCCTGTGTTGTTCTGGGCTAGTTTAACTAGGAAAGTAGCGAAAGTAGCGATGGCCAAGATCCCCTGGAGAATTGCTGTCAGCCAGTATAAACCTAATAGTGAGGTAGACCCAATTATCTCAATATAAGATAAATATGATAAACCTTACCCTAAAAATAAAAATGGAGATTGTATTTATGTGACAGATTAAGCCACAAAGCGGCCAATCTCCTTTTAGTTAGCTTGTATCACTTGTCTCTGTTAGCAAATTACAGGGCTAGCTTGTGCTAGCTTGCCCATGAAAGTAGGTTATGATTCAATGTTTGATGCAAGCGTAAGAAGTTGGGAAAATTGAATAGGCCATGATTGAATTAGCTACGAGTAAGCATAAGTAAACTATGAGTAAGCATGTTGTGCAAATGCAATTATTCCCTGGTGTGGTTGGTAATAAAAAGCCAGTTTATGTGCTATTTTTGAATGACCTCATAAATTTCCATAGAATTTGCCGACTGCCCTTAGTGTAGGCTGAAAATCTGAACGCTATACAATTTTGTAATAATGGTGGTACTAAGCAACCTATTGTTGGCATTATTGGCTGAGCTGTTCTATTTTTACAACAGCAGAAGAGTCTCTAGCTGCAACCGGCTGGCAAATTGTGAAAATGCAGCCTTCTTAAGAAGTTCTTTGGAGAGGCTAACACTTACGTTTCTAAGAATACAGACTCATAGAATGAGAACATTGGAAGTGACATTAGAGACAATCTAGTTTAACTCTCTACCCAATGAAGAAATCCACTACTAAAGCATCCTTGGCATTCAACTTCTGTTTAAATACTGTTAAGTGCTGTTTAGGTCCTTGGCCTTCAACCTCTGTTTAAGTACTTCCAGCAATTGGGAGTCCAACATAACACTCTCTCTGAGCCCAACTCACTTGTTGTGGGGACAATAGGAGGAGGAGATGTGTTGGATATATTCACCATCTCGAGTTATTTGTAAAAATAATAAAGGGAGGATTCAAACAAATAACTAAATCAACAAACAATGCCTCCCAAGGCATTCTGTTCCACTGTCAAACAGATCTTACTTATTGTTTCCTGATGTCCAAGTAAAATCTACTTCCTCCCAATTTAAACTCATTGCTTCTTGTTCTGTGCTCTGGAACAACTCTGAATTATTCTGCTCCAAATTTTCCATTAGATGCTTTTCAGATACTTGAAGACAATTTTTCTCCATTGTCTCTCCATACCTCCAACTCTTCCTCATATGCTTTTCCTTCCAAGGCAGAGGTGGGTTTCAGCAGGTTCTGACCAGTTCTGGAGTACTGGTAGTGGAAATTTTGAGTAGTTCGGAGAACCGGTAAATACCACCTCTGACTGGCCCCGCCCCCATCTATTCTCTGCCTCCTGAGTCCCAGCTGATCGGAAGGAAATGGGGATTTTGCAGTATCCTTCCCCTGCCATGGCCACCAAGCCACGCCTACCAAGCAATGCCATGCCCACCAAGCCACGCCCACAGAACCGGTAGTAAAAAATTTCTGAATCCCACCACTGTTCCAAGGCCTTTATATCTTAACTTCTCTTCCCTTCCCTGTTCATGCTCCATTTTGTCAGGATCCTTTTAAAATGCAATATCGAGAACTGGATACAGTATTCTAGTTGCAGCCTGACTGATACAGACTAAAGAGGAGCCAGTTCTGTGACTGTAAATGTGTCAAACTTAACAAGCGGCCATACAACTCTTTTTTTCCTGAACTGAACGAAGTTCATATAATAATCTTGCGTGCCTGTTTTAGACCCAAAGCAATTTCTAAATATTTTCATAAATAGAAAAAGCCTGCCGGAAAAGCAGAGTCAGTTCTATCATTAGGCAGATGGATATGGTCACCTCAGGCAGCTCACTTAGGATGAAAAGGAAACAAATTCATATTTATTATTATTATTGTCATTTTTTGACCTTAGAGAAGAGATTTTCTGATGCCTAGATATTCCAAATCACATGTGGAGCATTATAAGGTGCCATGTCAGCTTATAATACCTCATTTCATCTTAACTCGGGGCATTATTTCCGGTCTCCCCCAGTCTGTAGCATCATTTGTAGGAGCGGGGCAGTAAGGGAGAGGATTGAGGCTAAGGTATCTTCATTTCTAGTCAGAGGAAGGAAGCTCAATCTTTGCAACAGTTCAGCTGGGGAATGCTCCTGCCAAGAAAACACAGCCTTTTGCTCTCAGCAGAGAAGCATTAATCACCCTGTTCAAAACTAACTTGAGAAATGGCTCTGAAAAAGGCCTGGAAAAGTTGGAAGCAGAAGCTAGGAACCAGGTATGCCCCAGGAGGAGCCCCAGGGCTTCCTAACCAACTGTTTTTCTCTGTCAGGGAGCACGGATCTTCATAGCTTTAATGGGGTCTCATAAATCCTGCTGGTGTCATAGGCACACGGTTACACCTCATGCAAAGACAAACACAGCCTGCCCCCTTTAACCTTCTCATGGGAGGAAGTATTGCCGCCTGTGTATTCAGGCGGAGATATACAGCAGAGGGTCTTGGGCTGGAAGAAAAGAATAGCACCCACAGCATTTCAAAGAATTTGTTTAGATGCATGGACACTTTGGCATGCCCACTTTGGCAGGTCCAATATGGTTTAGGGCTTCATAAAACCTGTCTCCTGACAGCATATGATACAAAAAGTTTGCTGAAGTCCAGAAGATTTGATCAAATCCTAAGATCCCCAATGGAATATCCTTGACACCAAATCCTGGTATCCATTAAAAGCACTGTCTACCAACTGGATAAGAGGGATACGGAGGCTAAGATGCTGAGCTTGTCGATTGAAAGGTCGACAGTTCGGTGGTTTGAATCCCTAGTGCCGCGTAACAGGTTGAGCTTCGTTACTTGTCCCAGCTTCTGCCAACCTAGCAGTTCAAAAGCATGTAAAAAATGCAAGTAGAAAAAATAGGGACCACCTTTGGTGGTAAGGTAACAGTATTCCATGTGCCTTTGACATTTAGTCATGCCAGCCACATGACCTCGGAGACCTCTTTGGACAGCGCTGGCTCTTCGGCTTTGAAACGGAGATGAGCACTACCCCCTAGAGTCGGGAACGACTAGCACATATGTGTGAGGGGAACCTTTACTTTTACCTTACCAACTGGATAAATAGATAGATAGATAGACGATAGACGATAGACGACAGACAGACAGACAGACAGACAGAAAGACAGACCTGCACTTATACACACAAACACAGAGTTTTTGAAAAATAATTAAAAATTTACACACAGCAAAACAAAACACCTTTCTCCAGTTTTAGCCTTATCTCTATTTCTAAGAATAATTTTCAGCATCAGCTTTATAGATATTCTTAGAAACTCACTGTGGTAAGATGGCTGCAGTCCCAGAGCTTTCCTTGGAAGCTGGCCTAGGGAGAAAAAAAAACAATAAAGTAAAATAGGATAAGCGGAGGTGCGATTTATTCACTATGACAGTCCCTTTGTGATCAAACAGGATTTTCTACGTTCTGTTGTAGCCATTTTGTAATTTGCAATAGTGATTTCTGTGCAGACACAGAACTTACTTTCAAAATTCTAAATGTGTGCATCAACCAAAAGGTTTGGGAACCCCAGTAGATGTGCAAATGGACAACTGCTACGTTAGCCAACTTGCAACCTGTGATAGAAGATGGTTGAGATGGAAGTGTAAGACTACACAAAGTCTAATTTGATTTGATGAATTGGTCTATACTCCATGATAGGCAAACAATTGCACAAGCCTGTTCTTTTGGCTTCCAACATTAGACCTTTGGTGTGGAAGACGATCTAAAAATATCCAACCTTTATCTCCATTTGCCATTACTAATTGTTAGTAAAAGAAGGAACCAGAAGATGGATCTAGAGACTTAGTCATACATAGAAGTTAGGTTTGTTGTGCTTGTGTTGCAATGATACCAATGAATGTAATCGGAATATAAATAATACTGGATCTGGCCCAATGACAATGACACATGACTGAACTGGATCTCCCTAAAGATTGCAATGTGATTCTTGAGAAGTAATTCAGAGTAAGTAACACTAGCTGATTCTACGGAACTGTGTGAAGTTTGATATTTTCAGTTCATGTCCATATAAGATACAGTGGGGGAAAATTCACAGTGGGCACAGTCATACAACTGAGTTGAAGAGGTTTCTTCTGGTCTTCAGGAGACAGAAAATTATGCCATGTAAATTGTACTGCCAATCCCCATTCTACCTCATCAGAAGGCCAGACAGTGATGCTGCCCTTATGATATATGACAAGCATTCCTGGTTTGATTTTTCTTCCACCACCTATTAGCAGGAGAAACCACCATCAATTGCTCTCCTTATTATGTGGTGGGGCAAGGATAGGGGAATATAGGTGTGTACTTAAGAACAGCTGGTTTAACCACCTGCTAATCCGAATCTGGTTAATAAACTACAGACTCAGACTTGCTCTCTGCTACCTATCATTTGGGCTATTTCTGAATAGAATAGAATAGAATTCTTTATTGGCCAAGTGTGATTGGACACACAAGGAATTTGTCTTGGTGCATACGCTCTCGGTGTACATAAAAGAAAGGATACATTCATCAAGAATCATAAGATACAACACTTAGATAGTCATAGGGAACAAATAAGCAATCAAGTCATATTAGGAAACAGTCAATATAAATCGTAAGGACACCAGCAACAAGGTTACAGTCATACAGTCATAAATGGGAGGAGATGGGTGATATGAATGATGAGAAGAATAATTGTAATGCAGACTTAGTGAATATTTGACAGTGTTGTGGGAATTATTTGTTTAGCAGAGTGATGGCGTTCGGGAAAAAACTGTTCTTACGTTTAGTTGTTCTGGTGTGCAGTGCGCTATAGCGTCGTTTTGAGGAACATGGGTCTAGAGCTCTTCTGAAAGAGCACTCAACCTATGTCATATAATTTGGCTTAGCGGTCACACTCAGGAGAATAACAAAATGCCACGAGGTGTGGAAAGTGACCTCAACCAATCCAGGTTGTAAACAGAATGAAATTTTATGGCCGCATAAAATCTTTTGTCACAGAAAAAAAAAATCTGAAATTGGTGACAGAGCCAGCAATTCACACCTGGCAAATCCCAGCTAACTTTCCTGTTTATGTCAAATTTCTGTACAGCTTTTGAAAATTGGGTATGTCTAGTTTAATGAAAAGAAGGACTAGGGGTGATATGATAGCTGTGTTCCGATATCTCAGGGGTTGCCAAAAAGAAGAGGGAGCAAAGCTATTCTTCAAAGCACCTGAAGGCAGGATAAGAAGCAATAGATGGAAATTCATCAAGGAGAGAAGCAACCTAGAACTAAGGAGAAATTTCCTGATAGTACTCCACTCCACTCCACTCCACTCCACTCCACTCCATTCCATTAACATAAGTGTAGTGCTGTTTTGAAAGAGTGTTAAATCCCTGGCTAAAATGATCCCACATAAAACCTACCAAACATTCAGAAAACGCTAGAAAGGCATTATGCAGGCAGATGCCCCTGAGGAAGCCAAGCATCCAACTTATTCGGCAGACCAAGTAAAAATGGTCATTTAGAGCAATTTTCAGTAACCAGGGATGTATGTGTTTGTTTCTATGTACGCCTACAGTAGCCTCAAGTGATCCAAAGATCAAACCCCTGATCATATCAGCAATGAAGTGTTGTAGATCAGTGTTTCTCATCCATGGTGACTTTTAAGATGTGTGGATTTCAACTCCCAGAATTTCCTATACTAGTGTTCTAGATTGAGCCCATTATGTCAGTGGAAGAATAAAACACAACCAATTGAGATACCTAAAGACAGTTTTATAGATGGCCTCAGTTTTGGGCTGGATGTTGGACTTGGTCTTTGGGTCTCATTCATACTGCGGTTAATATTACATAAGAAAGAGTCCTCTGAATATAGCTGGAATGCTAAAGATCACAAGTATCCCTTTTGTGTGGAAGATCTAATTTCAGATTAATTAGGTGGAAGGAAATCTGAACCACCAGGAGGCAATATTAACTGGGCTATCTTCCTGTTAGAAGAAAGGAGAGATCTCTTGCCATTATTTTGAGAGCCATACAAGAAAATATATCAATATCATTTTTAAATATAAGAATAAAGAGTATGTCCAGTTTCAATAGTCAGAAGTACAGAGATGGGACATTTGACGATATCTCATTACTTGAGGTGTCCATAGATGATCAGAAGTCCACCAAGCAAAAATAAGTGCCTTTATATGATTTGTAAAAGCGCTAAAACTAAGTGATTAGTTTCCTTTCCCAATTGATACATTGCAGGATTTTGGACATAGATTATAGATTAGATTAGATTAAATAGATGTTAGATTAGTATAGATTAAATGTCCAGATTACTAAAATTTATAATTATTGTCATTAAGATAGTGATCATTTACAGTGTAATAAATAAAAATTCATTGTTAGAAGGAAAGACCACTTTTAACTACTTTGTTCATTAATAACTTTTACCTTGATAGTTAAAATGCACCAGATCCTAAAATGATAGCGTGCAAAATTGTTTAAAACTGACTTTCAATAATGAAATATTATACTGATATTTCAAGCTTTCCACTGTGGAATTAAGAGTTTTGAGGATGTAAAGCACATTACTTTTATAAAATTGGACACTTCTCCACCATTGATGTTTAGACAAAAAAGGAAATGCAATATGTTAACATAGGTCTTCCACCTACATGGAAGGAAGTATTGTTTGATCCCAAGGGCCACCAGGCACACTCAAGTGTTAGAATATGAGATTTTTTTACATTGAAATCAGTTCAGTGGAGTTTTGGCTCAGAATAATAGAATTTGCCTGCTCTGTGACCATAGTTAAAATAGGCTTAATCAGAATGTTTCTATACGGTGTATTCTCAGTCCCAATGCTATTATCCTTAGCAGCAAAAAGATGAATGAAATGGCTATCCTGAGGATGCATAATATGAGTGCTGGTATCCTACCTCGTCCTTTCTCGTAAATGATGGGACTACACCTAAAGTATATCTAACATTTTCCAAAAGCCCTTCCTGCGTCATTTTTTTTTGGCCTGTTGTGCAATAGCTTCAGTTTCTGAATAGTAACAACAACGTGTTGATTTGCTTGCTACAGTGTAAACCACCGCCTCTGTCTTTTTTCAATTCCTTATCTATAGAAATGCAAATATTTATAGGCATATATGTAGTATGATTCTGCAAAAAGATGACTACTCACTGTCATATATTTTGAGGAACCGTCTCAGCTGTCTCCTTTTCTGAGAAAGCCTAGTAGGAAATGCCTTCACAGCTGGCGATGTTGCAATCTAAAAATTGGTCTATTGGTTTGTTGCCTAATTTTAATACATTCAGCATCTTTTAATGGCGGTCAGTTTTAATGGTGGTCAGTCCAAGATGGTCAATTTTGTCTGCTAGTGTCGCACAGTTCCAATATTATAAGGTACAGTCTATCCTGGAACGGAATGCAGTTGGAAGAATACCATTTCTGAATATGTTAAAACAGTCTCTGCAAATTGAAAAAAAAAAAAGAAAAACTAACATTGGGGTTAGGCAAATTTAGCTGTTGGCTAGCCTGAAGGGGTGAAGTGAAGAATACACCACAGTGGCACACCCTGTCATAGCTGTGTCAATTCTTTCGTATTCAGTGATGTAAGCTGTCAGCAACCTTTAATCCCTTCATATTGTTTGCTGTGACAAGCTACACTATATAGGTAGTCCTTAATTTATTACCATAATTGAGCCCAAAATTTATGTTGTTTAAGTGAGGCATTTGTTAAGTGAGTTTTGCCCCATTTTATGACTTTTCTTGCCACATTTGTTAAGTGAATCACTGCAGCTGTTAAATTAGTAACACCATTGGTAAGGGAATCAGGTTTCCCCATTGACTTTGCTTGTCAGAAGGTTGCAAAAGTAAACAAAATAAATTTCTCCCATCGCAGGCAAAAGTGCTAGAGCCAACGTTGACAAAACTGTAGCACACAATCACTCTGTCTCATGTACACACATAATTGACTCACACCCACATCCATCTTTATCTCTGATTGCATTCACACACTGAGGAAAGCAGTGGCTTGTTTAAAGGTAAAGGTTTCTCCTGTCCAGTTGTGTCTGACTCTAGGGGGCAGTACTCATCTCTGTTTCTTGGCCGAGGGAACTAGCATCCTCTGTAGACATTTTTGTGGTCATGTGGCCAGCATGACTATATGCCGAGGCATACAGAACATTGTTACCTTCCGCTGAAGTGGTACCTACTTGCATTTCAGAGGTGGGTTTCAGCAGGTTCTGACCAGTTTTGGAGAACTGGCAGCGGAAATTTTGAGTAGTTCCAAGAACCGGTAAATACCACCTCTGACTGGCCCTGCCCCCATCTATTCTCTACTTCCCGAGTCTCAGCTGA